ACTTTGGGCTGTAGTACTTTTTGTGAATTGTAAGGCTGGATTTTGTCTCTTGTTTATTCATCTTTTAATGAGGAGTGTTTGGCCAGATGCTGGTATTTCCCAGCAGACAGAGGGTATTCTCAGATCTAAAACCTCAGAATGGTCAGTGTGCTATAATCCAGTATTTTGTTATTTTGCTATGATATTTCTTTCTAGGAGCCATAATGTTTGTTAAATTATGAAGTATGATACTTATGAGAGGATGTATAAAACATTTTATGGAGTTTATAGACAGAATCTCCTGTATCTTCTAACTCTTTCTCTGTAGGTCTTCCAATATTTAAGAAGAAAAGAACAGAGAGAGAAAAGGAAGCCATATTAGAGGCTTGTAGCCACTGTTACTTGCAGAGTCATTGTGCCAACATGAAAAATAAAACTAATAAAAGAATAACATAGTTTGAGGATAAAAGGAATATCCTGGACATCCAAGGAAAAAAATATATAATAATATTTCCAGCAAAGGAGAAAGCATAAATAAGGCTCTCTTGAAGTGGAAAAAACCCGCATCCTACTTTCTATAGAAAAGCCCACTAAAGAGATCAAACAGTGACTAGATTTTTTATTTCTAAAATTAATATTCTTAACAGACTTCAGTTTTATTCAAAACCATTTGAACCCATTAAGAAAAGGAAAATTATTTCCTATATAGTATTCTAAATGTTAGGTTAAAATCTCCAGATATGCTTTTAAACACTTTTAAATTAAACCATTATTTATATATCTGCATTTCCTCTAATATTTTTCATCTGGATACTATAAAAATGGAAACCAATGAATCAGAAAATCAACCTCAGAAATACTTTAGCTACCACGAAACGTTATGGAAGTCACTGTGAAGAATAGGAATTTATCTTATGAATTATATGTGTTTCCAACAAAAATGTCTTAAGGGTCAGATGGGGTGGCTCACGCCTGTAATCCTAGCACTCTGGGAGGCCGAGTTGGGTGGATGGCCTGAGCTTAGGAGTTCAAGACCTGCCTGAGTCAGAGTGAAGACCCCCTGTTCTTAAGAAGAAAAAAAAAAGCCAGGCATTGTGGTAGGTACCTATAGTCCCAGCTACTCGGGAAGCTGAGGCAAGAGGATCATTTGAGCCCAAGAGTCTGAGCTTGCTGTGAGATATAACACCACAGCACTCTACCCAAGCTGAATGAGCAAGACTCTGTCTCAAAAAAAAAAAAAAAAGATCTTAAGGTTATGTATGCCTACCACACTGGCTCGACAGAAGTGATCAAGAGAATAGGAAATGCATTCGAGTTTAGCATTTATGCATTCATAGAAATTTAGAAGAGCCAGATACTAAATTCAGTATCATCATGTTTTTATGGTTTTGTTTGTTTGTTTGAGGCAAAATCCTTCTCAAAAGATGTCTTATGGACAATCCTGATATATGAAAGAAATGAGGCCCAGAGCTTCTCTGGTTACAGCAAGGACTGGGGCTCTGGGCCCAGATCAAACTCTGGGCCCATCTTTCTCATTGCCTTACTTCTTTCCTTCCTTCCCCTTTCCTGCATTCTTCTTTTGTCCTTCTTCCTTCCTTCTCTCTCCTTCTTTCTCCTTCTTCCTCCCTATTTTTTTTTTTTTTTTGAGACAGGGTCTCATTCTGTTGCCCTAAGCTGGACTGCAGGGCCACAATCATAGCTCACTGCAGCCTTGGGCTCAAGTGATCCTCCCAAGTTGCTAGGACTATGGGCCCATGCCACATCCAGCTCCATTGTTCTTCTGTAACTCCCCTGGTACTGCTTTCGGGAGTCCTGGTTCAGTGGAATCTTTGAAAAGTTCTGATATAGTCTAGCTTCTTGACTTTTCAGTTGAGGATACTGAGGCAATCAGTCAACTGGTGAAAGAGGTGGGCCCAGAAGGCAGGTCTTCTGCAATTAGTTTCAGACATACAAAATTTTCCTTTTAACTACACAGAGAACATTTCTTTACTAGCTATATCAACAGAGACCAGGGAGAGTTTCTATATAAAATAAAATATTTAATGGCCTGGGCAGTGCCTGTGACTCAAAGGAGTAGGGCATGGGCCCCATATGCCAGAGGTGGTAGGATCAAACCTAGCCCTGGACAAAAACTGCAAAAAAAAAAAACAAACAAAAAAAACCCCAAACAAAAAAACTTCATGGCCTATATATATTTTCAAATATAAATTAATTTTAGGAAATGAATTGTTTTTCTATTATCCCTAAGTTTGAGTTTAAAGTGCTTCTGAGAACTTCAGTAAACAAAGTTAAAAATATTTAGTTATAAACATGGTAACCAGCTTCCAGCAAAGTCAGAGCATAGGTATCATCTCTATCACCAGCTGCTGCTGCCTCGGTCAAAGCTTTTCTGCTCTCTGCACACCATGAGGACTCCCCCTGCATTCTTCAGGCTGCAGGGTGCTCACCCTGCATTCCATTCCCAGCACCACGGGAAACTTCAGACTGTGTCTTCTCAACCTTAGAAGCTCACACCCTTCTTCAAATAAAAATCTCGTATCTCTGCCTCAGTTCCGTCACTCTGATGTGCCCCACTGGGTGAAGAGTCCGGTTTTGCACATTCCCTCTAGCCAAGAGTCCATTGAGCTTTACTTCTCAGGTTAGCTTTTTAAGAAGACAGGTATTTTTATGCAAATATGAAAAATAATATGCTTTTTAAAATCATACTCCTCTTCCCAATGCTGACATGCTACTTCTCAAAGGTATGAGAAGTATGACCAAGTGGATTGTTGAGACCCCTGTTTAGTAGTCACTAAAATAGATATCCGTTTTTTTGTTTAATCTATTTCTTGGTTTTGTTTTTGTTTTTGGCCAGGGCTGGGTTTGAACCCGCCACCTTCTGCATATGGGACCGGCGTCCTGCTCCTTTGATCCACAGGCGCCGCCCTTTTTCTTGGTTTTTAAAATGTCTAATTCTGACAAAAATAAACCTATCAAGGTTTTTTATAATCTAACATGTAAATTTAAAACTCCCTGTGTAAGTTCAATATGAATTTGACATCTAACGTTTAGTGTTGAGATGTGTTACCTGGTTTTTATATTGCTTTATGTCACTTGCTTTCTACTCATTCATGAAAACATACTTCTCTACATTTTTTATCCAGTGATAGAATTCAGTTATATATTAAGTAATCATGACAAGTGTGACTCACTCTGTACAGTTAGAAGACTGTTTTCACAAAGCGTGGTCTTATAGAGAGAGCTGGGAACTACCAAAGGGTATTGGCATAACAAAAAGTGACATATTGGTGTCACTTCTGAGATTGTATTTTTTTAATCACTTAGCCTTTCTATATGAGAGGGATACAGACTGTTTTCAAACTTTAGTGTGAAAAAATGTCTATTTTATTGCCCTAAATCAAATTGAGCCTGCTTCAAGCTTCATCCTGTCTGGGAGGCAGATATCTTAGTTATTCCTCGGGCTGTGCACCCCCATGCAAAGGGTCTTATTCAGAGAGAACACAAAGTCTTCTCTGATCTCCAGTCTCTGATCTCCAGTTACCATGGGCCACACTCCAAGCCACCAAGGTCCTTGGTTCCCACCCTGGGGCTTGCAGGATGCTTTGTGTGTATCTGGGGACAGGAATCTTGCTCTAGCGGGGAGACTTTGGGTCTGGGATTTGGCTTTTCCGGGTACCACAGCTGCTTCCTTCTCCGGTTTAGCTGTCTCTAGAGATGCCCCGGGGAGAGAAAGGTGCAGGTCCTCACTAGTTAGGAAATCCACAGCCTTTGGTCCCTTTCCAGAATCTGGAATAATCTCCCCTTGGCTCTCACCACTTCTGCTTCTCTTTTACACATTGTTTCTTTCTCCTCAACACACAGCATAATGCCCTCTTTAAAAAGAAGTTTGAAAGAAAAGTTGTCTTCAGGGGGATATAGCACCAAAAGCCTCCCTGGGGGTAAGAGAACACAAAGACTTGTCTACTACCTTCTTCTACCTGGTAATGGAGAGCAAAACCCAGATAAATATCTCAACAGGTCATCCTCTATGACACTGAACTTAATAAGTAGTATGATGATCATATTAAAATAGGAAAGTTCTTTATTCCTTTAATGATATGTGGAAAGTCATCCCCTAATGTAGTATTGTTTTGTATATATTTGGTATCAATACAAACATAGTCCATGGTGTTAACCTTTCAGATGAGCAAACTCAGCCAACCCTTCCTTCATCTCCTCAATTCCTACCTTGTAGCAGGTAGAGGAGAGAGCAGGGTATGAATTCTTTCTCCACTCCAGGGAGTGTGGCAACGAAGATTTGTTCTACCAATAGAATAGTTTCCAACCTGTGCTCCCAGAGGATTTAAAATTATTCCTATGGAATAATTATTCCTATGGAAGGAGGAGGGTAAGGAAGACCAAGTGAGCAGGGCTCTAGGGACTGCCATCCTCATGTCAATTATACCAGTTGTGCTTTTCTGTTTTCTTTATATATTAAATCTCATGCAAAATTGTTTTAATTAAAGGGTCCATCACTATAAACAATCTGGAGATCTTTGAAGAATCTATGCAAGTGTATGCCTACAACAAAAGGTCTTCCTTTTCAATGTTATGATTTTATGATACAAAAACCAACCTTCCCCTTTAAACACTCTATGGCTTATTTATTGTTTACAAGTAAAGATCTCCAAATGATAGGCCACTGCAGTTCTGGTTAACAAGACATTTATTGTGGATGATGGTTGATAAAAATCTTGCTGCACTGAAACTGTGAGTTCTTGTTAGCCGCTATGACTCTGCCTGCATGTTCACTATACAAAATCATATGGTTTATCGAAGGCATTAAGTAGCTCCAACCAAAAGTACCGCATCATGTTACTATTTAACCAGAATTACAAAAGTTAACTCTTTATTGATATTATTTTATGGTTACTGATCATCACATACATTGTCTTCTAACCACTGGTTCTTATTAAAGACAAATTACTCAACTTTAACAAAAACTAAGATTTTATAATTCAATACAGACAATAATATCTAAGAATAATTTTTATATAGTTAACTTTATGTCCCAAATAACATATAGGCTCCATTGAAATTAAAGACTCCAGGAGACAAGTTTAAATGGACTTTTCATATTAGACATTTTGTAATGACTTTTTATCTGATAAGTTTTTGTTAAAAACATGGTTGAATGAAATTACGTGTCAGATATTTTTAGTAACATACATAGTTTTCTAGCTTTCAGAACTGAAAATTCCCTTTTTTCACTCTACTACTATTCTTGTATGTAGACCTAAGAACATATGGTGTCTGCCATGCAGCATAAGCATTACAGTGTTTCTTTCTCTTCTATTAGTATCGAATACTAAAATTGGAGTATTCAAGTTTGGAGATGGTTTTTTCATTAGAAAAGTTTGTGCGGTCAATGCGAGAACTAGGACTCCCAATCTTGCTCAGCCAGGACTTCCTACAAAAGAATAAATACATAAAATTAGCATATAAAGTATATGCAGATCAGCTAAAATGACCCTACCAATAGGTATTAATGAGAATTTACTAACTTTTGCATCTGTGATATATAAATTTGTTTACATTGTATATATCATTCCAAGACTGCCACAGAATACATATAATTTATGTATAATTAAATATAGGCAAAGAAAAGCTAATAACAAATTAAACACAGTCAATTCCTGACGATTAAAGTTATTCCCCCCTCTTAAGAACACTCCAAAGGTCATTATTACCTAGTTTTTTGGTCCCTACTTTTTTTCTTTTTTTGAAACAGTCTCACTGTGTTGCCCAGGCTAGAGTGCCGTAACATCAGCCTAGCTCCCGACAATCTCAAACTCCTGGGTTCAAGTGATCCTCCTGCCCCAGCCCTCCAAGGGGGACTTACAGGTGCCCACCACAATGCCCACCTAATTTTCTATTTTTAGTATAGATGTCTCTCTTGCTCAGGCTGGTCTGGAACTACCAAGCTCAAGGAATTCTCCCACTGTGGCCTCCCAGAGTGCTAGGATTATGGGCATAAACCACCACATCCAGTCATTAATACCTAGCTCTTACACTCAAAAATATTTTTATAGAGGCTAGTAAACAATTAAGCATTGCTTTCTCATTACCCAGCATGTGGTAGATGTTTTATTTGTGTATACACACACACACACACACACACACACACACACACACAGAGCAAGGAAAGAGAGAATAAATGAAAGAATAAGGAATAGAACATGATTTTCCAAAAACATTAAAACTATATGAACATTTTATCTATTCAAGTACTATTTCTTGCCATATATATTAGCAAAATAACTGCCTTGAAAGATGTTAAATGTTTTGAAAATATTTTCCTGCTTATATTTAGTGCAATGGTTTTTTAATTTGTTACAATACCCAGGGATCTAATTTCTGCATTTGGGGGCTTACCTGAGACAATTCCTATATAACTCAGGGCTATTGTGTATTGCTTAGACCTCAGATAATACTATTGAAGATTTTCCAGAATCTTTCTATTAATTGGTTGGGATGATAGATTTAGTGTTACTATAGGTTAATCACACAAGGCTGTTTTATACAAATTCTGGCTGTTATCCCAGTTGCTGTAAAGAAATATCCTATGAGTTTTCTCATATCCCTGAAGTTGTTTCAGGTTGTGAAGCCAGAGCTGTATACAGCTGAACAATGTGATATGTAACAGCTGTAGATAACCTTGGAGTAAAATATTTTCTAGGCTAAAGTTTTCAGATTAGCTGAAAATTACTCTTCATTGGACTAGAGAAAAATTCTAATGATTCAAATTACCATTGTCCTTTTTAACCTTTCTTTGGGACAGTATTACTGGGTGAGGTTAATTTTGACTTCTTTAAGTCATGTAGTTAAAATCTTAAAAATGGGCTGGGCGCCTGTAGCTCAGTGGCTAGGGTGTCAGCCACAGGGGTGGCAGGTTTGAACCCAGCCTGGATCTGTCTGCCAAACAATGACAACTATAAGAAAAATAGCCAGGCATTGTGGCTGGCACTTGTAGTCCCAGCGACTTCAGAGGCTGAGGGAAGAGAATCACTTAAGCCCAAGAGTTTGAGGTTGCTATGAACTGTGATGGCACAGCACTCTATTGAGGGTGACATAGTGAGACTGTCTCAAAAAAAAAGGAAAAAAAAGAAAAATCTTAAAAATGGAAATTTTGCGCATTGAAGATAAATCTGTTTCTTATTTTATTTTTTATTAAATCATAGCAGTGTACATTAATGCAATAATGGGGTACAGTGTGGCGTTTTCATATACAATTTGAAATATTTTCATTGAACTGGTTAACTTAGCCTTCATGTCATTTTCTTAGTTATTGTGTTAAGATGCTTATATTCTACTTTTAGAAAGAATCACTTGTATCCTTGTAAGATAAACCATAGTGGTGATCCCACCATAAATCTCAGTTTCTATAAAAAGGAGCTGATGGCTTCAATTTTACTAGCTGAATCCCCTTGAAGTCTTCTAGAAAATAAAAGCCACAAATAATAATGAAAGCTGACATTTACTGAGCTTTAACTATTTGTTCAGCACTAGGCCAAGTTCCTTACGTGGATAATTTCCTTCACTCCACAAATGGACCTGTAAGTCCTAGTTTACTGTTACTCCAAGGTTACTGATGAGAAGAGAGGAACATAAGAGTAACTTGCCCAGGGCGGTTAGCAGTGGTAGTGGTGAGGAGGAGTCCGACTCTGAGTATATTTTGAAGGTACAGTAAGATTTGCGGACAGATTGGATGTGGGTGTGAGAAAAGGAGTGAAAGATGACACCAGAGTTTTTGGTTTGAGTAACTCATTGGATGAGGTTGTCATTTACTGAAATGCAGACTGTGAGAGGAGCAGATTTGGGGGAAGGAAACATGACATCTGAGATGTCTATTAGACAGCCCAGTGAGATGTGGAGGCAGTCGGATCTCTAAGTTTAGCAAGAGGAAATAAAATTTGGAATTTGTCAGCATAGATGATACTGAAAGCCCTAAGATTAGCTGGGATCATCAAAAAAAAAAAAAAAATGAATGTAGATAGAAAAGATAAAAGGTCGAACATTAAGGGCTAAGGAAGCAGAGGAAGAACCAGCAAAAGAGAAGAACACATCCAGTGAGGTACGAGAAAAACTAGTGTCCAGGGAGCCAAAAGAAGCCCTCAGGAAGCAGAGAGGGACCCTTCAGGCCACCGATGCTGGCAGGTCAAGTGAGATGAGACCTGAAAATGGACCCTTGAGCTTAGCAACTGGAGGTTACTGGCGATGTTGGCAAGAGCAGTTTTGGTGGCATGAAAGCCATATTTGTGTGGGCTCAGGAGAACGAGAAGAGGGGAATTGAAATTAATAAATCCCGGACTAGGACTAGACAGGAACTGTGACGCGATCCCACCTGAGCTGATCCCTCAGTGATCTAGCTGATCCCTGATCTAGCTGAGACTGACTACCGCCCGAGGTCTGGGCCTCAACACCATCCAGAACTTCTTCACCTGACCCTGGTGGGGAGATGGTCATGGTGTTGGGAGAGCAAGCTCTGTGTCGCCCGTGGGGAGGATGGTCACTGTGTGTCATGGCTCCACATGTTCCTCCCTGTTGCTGGGAACCACCTTGCCTGGCCTGCCTCCTCACCTAGGAGTGTTCTGGTCGCCTGCCTGCCACTTGGCAGGCCCTGAGATGTCACTTCCATGCCGTTGTTGCCGTTAGCCTTTGAGAGGTGCGGCTCAGATTTGGAGATAGCAGAACGAAGAGCTCTCTGAGTGAAAAAATAGCTAGGCACAAAATTTCACAAAAAGATATGTCTAATTAAAACGTATAGGTACAACCACACACACACACA